ACTCACAGTTTGTGTACCAAGTGGTTCCTTAAGTCCTGCGTAATGTCCTCATGCCAGCTTTTCCTCATACCTGAAGAAGAAGGAGGGCCTGCTGTCGGCATGGAGCCGACTCCACTGGCATCATTCATTAGACTGGAAGAGATAAGAGGCATGGTATGAATGATTAACTTTTTAAAAATACATGGACATGTCAAGTTGGTATGATGTAGAACTGTGATGACATGATTAAGCTGCTAGTTATGGTAGCTGATTTTAATGAAGGTTGTGTTTCCCTTCCTGCTTACCCTTGGCTGGTCACATTGAGGTGCATCATGGTATCCTGCAGCAGGTTAGCTTGGCTCTGAGTTGGAGCTCCCACCCCTCCATTGACTCCCATAGGATTTGCACCTAAACATGGAAAGGACAGGATATTGATAGTCTGCATGTGATATTCCCTTTTAATTGTAATGATTGTTACACTGTAATGGATGTTTCTGTTCAGACTGTATTCTTTTACCTTGAGCCATGTGAAAGGTTATTAAGGTACAAGTTCACTGAAATACATCTAACTCTTTTTATCACTGCCATTATAGAAAAAAAACATAATTCATATGCCACAATATGTAGAATAAATATTGGAAGTGATCTTAAAATCATTGTTATGAAAAATGCTAAGCTCTAAATCACAGAGGATGGCATATTTTTCCTCTGAAATACCCTAGAGATTGAGGTTGATTGAACATGCATTCTCACTCACCTATTGGGTTCAGTCCTCATGCCTGCCTGGCCCTGCATGCCTGGGTTGGCCATGTTGGGCTGAGCAGACTGAGCCTGAATCTGGTTACCCTGGTAAGTGAGGCCCAGGGCTGCGTAGGCTCTTTCTATGGAGCTGGGTCAATCTGGCTTGGCTGGTTGAGGTGGGAGCACTTGGTTGGCCACCAGGTACTGCTCCAAGAGAGCTGCCCAGACCTGCAGCAGCCGCACCAAGTAGAGCTGTCATGAAAAAAGAAGAGATGTTGTTAAATAATGCAACTGATCTGCTCTAATGGAAAAAAAAGAACTCGAAAAACTAAGGTCACGAAAAGCCTGTGACAAAATATTTACATGAAAACAGAAAAAAATTGATATTAAGTAAGTTATGGATGAATTTCCCCCCTACAACTACTGTTAAGGTTTTAATGCAGCAATATCAAAAAAAAAAATGAATTGACGATCTGACAATAACACAATATGATAATGTTACTTAGAAGAACAGTGTAGTAAGAACAAAAATAATGTGTTTGGTCAGATACAGACACTCACACTGCGGGTTCCTCTTGTCGCCAGCATTCTTCAGCGGCAGGCACACAGGACAGTCGTGCCGCGTGCAGTTCTTCCAATGGGAGATGATCTGCCTCGATGATGCACAGTGAGCCACTGAGAGGAAAAGGGCAGAAAGACAGGAGAAGTAAGGAAACACAGAGATATTAAGGAGAGAACGAGGCAGGAAAACAAAACTCAAACAAAGAGTTAAAGGTGCCTTTTTGTTGCAATTAAAAAAACATTCCTGAATCCAAAGGACACAGAAAAGGATTGTGAAGTTAACTGAATGATGTTGTTGATGTGTATATTACGATATAATATAGGTAAACTTCTGTATTAAAAATAGTCGTCTGTGCATCTATTTCCCTATACTGCGTATGCCTCCTGCAATGTTTGCTTAAGAGCTTTACTGTGGCATTGGGGATATATATTCAGCATTAGAAAGTACACATCTTGTGTGTAACAAGCCTGCTTGTTAGATATATTATAGTTGCCTCTCAATCTAGAAGCATGCAGCATCCCTTTTACTCACCCTGGCAGGACTTGCCAGCCTGGCAGTGAGTCATGTGGTTGAGGACGTTCTTCATGGTACGACAGTGGGGCAGGTTGCACTGGCGGACTTCACCGTTGGCCTGCTCCCGCCGCTGGCACTTGTGTGCATGGAGCAGGAGCACCAGTTGCTGCTGGATGAGCTTGCGCTTCTCAGGGTCAGCTGTAGGTGGTGCTCCTGCTGCAGCAGTGGCTGCCGAAACCTGGGCACCTGGACCGACCAGACCTGCCTGAGCGTTAGGCACCATCCCTGTGGCCCCTCCTAAAGGTGCACCTGAAGGGCCACCCACGCCCGTTTGTGTTTGTTGAGAGCCCTGGAAAGGTAAGTGGGAGTTAATAAGTAGCAGGACATGGAAGAGGCAAGATTTAAGTTGTCGTGAAATTGAGAGAGATAAGGTAGATGGAAGCAGGAAAGACAGGAAGAGAAGGTGGTGCTTAATTTACAAAAACAGGAGTGTGAGATATTAAAAGAACAGGGAAGTTATTTAGTGGGATACGAGGGAGGTGGGTTAAGGGCAAAAACAATTAAATCATTTTCAGTTTTAGACTTAATTGCTTCCCTACCATGGCAGCCATTCCTTGCATGGGCTGGTTCTTCTTGTCCACATTGAACTGGGCAAGACTGTTTGCCATGGGACCTTTGTTTTGGAGCTGAGGGCCCAGCCCTGCCCCTCCCAGGCCTTGATTCCCCTGCCCAGCATACGGACCTCCAAAAGGGCCCCCTGGATTTCCCAACATCCCCATCTTGGAAGAGAAAAAAACAATGGGGAACAATAAAAAGATATGAAGAGCGTGAGATGATGATGAAGGATACATCAAGCGAAGTCATTTTACAACTTAGTATGTAAGTGCACCATATATACTTTTTTACTGTTTTCAGTGATCATATTTGAGATGTAAATGTTACAGCAATTTTAGCTTTCTGTGTCTCTGCAAGATCCCAAACCTTAGCTCATAAATGATAATGACCTGTTGATATTTCTACACATCATAAATTCCATCAAAGCCAAATTTAAAAGGTTTTCATTTCCCAAAAATTATTAAATCATCTGTTATACCACTTGCACTTTCTAAACAGCAACTACTGAAGGAAGAGATTTCTCTTTTTTTACAGTATTAAAAATGTTATAAACTATTAGAAAATATAAAACAATATTTTGGAAACCAAAAATCTTACATCAACTACAGAAACACTGCCCAGCACATTGAAACCAGTTTTGAATAGTTCCCATTTTCTCAGATTAAACAGGTTATTTGAACATTTATTTTAAAATCACAGATCTGGTACTCATCAGTACCCTGCATATATCCCCTTCTGTTTATCATTTCAATTGCCTTAAAACCTTAAAACATTTTTTCACTCTTTTCGTACGCAACCCAGAAACCATCTCACTGCTTGTGATCTCTATGGCAGGATCAAACATCAGTGTCTCCGCGCCACATTCATTCATTCAGCGACAACAGCAGCTTGCCGCAGCAACATTTTTACTGTCACTCCTGAGGGACTGTCAATCACATAAGCAGAGCATTTTTCTGCCACTTCAACTCAAAGCATAAGAGCTAGAAAATACTTTTTCCATTTAGACGTAAGATCTTGACTCAGAATGAAACTTGCTCATGTGTTCAGTCATAAACAACAATACTTCAAGACAGATAGATACTTATTTTACCAATGTGCAATTTACAAATCCAATCAAGTTAAAATCAAAATAAATGTTATATCTATAACTGAAGGGGTCCTTACCTTGTTCATTGCTCCAGGTTGCTGGCCTCTCATCCCAGCCTGACCTCCAGCCCCCGGTTGCTGTAGGGTCTCAGCCAGCAGATTACTGTTGCCACCCATCCCTTGATTCCCAAAGCCCATCCTAGGGGAGCCATTCATCACCTGACTTCCCATCATGCCTGGCTGCTGCTGTCCATTATTGCCTTTCTGCTGTGCTCCCATCATGGCCCTGTTCATGCCACCCATCATAGTTGCATTCTGCTGCATCATGTTGGCCTGCTGCTGAGGGGAGAGGTGCTGCTGCTGCCCCTGGCCCATCATCTGTGGAGGCCCCTGGCCAGGGGAAGCTTTCATGTTTGCCAAGTGTTGCCCCATGGCAGTGGGGCCTCCTGGGCTACCCATGGCTCCTTGGTGCCCTTGTTGGGTAGACGACGGTGCTCCTGAACGTAAAAGCTCAGACAGCTGTTTGTGCTTGGCCACCGCATCCTGACCTCCACCAGGACCCCCTCCAGGGCCAAGACCAAGACCCATTCCTCCTGCCCCTCCACCTGGACCAAGCCCTGCAGGTCCTCCTCCCAGTGTGGTGTGCAACTGGCTGAGGTCTCCACCATTCAGAACCAGACCTGGTTCATTGGAACTGATGAGCTCGTCTGGGAGATCATGCTCCAGGTCGAACAGAGAGCCGAAATCTAAAATTGGGAAAAAAAAAAAAATGGGGAGGACAATAAGTTGGGAGACAAATCAGAAGAAGCGTGAATAGGACAAAAAGGGCCACGATAAGATAGTATAATCCTTCATTTTTCAAAATTGTTGTGTGAAAACGACATTGCATGCTGACATTTAAATCTGATAAAAGATGTTTAGACGTGTATGAAAAATTGTCTCTGCAGGCATGCTATCCGGCACAACTAAACCGATCCAAATGAAATTTAGTGTGATTGTGAAGCTGGCATTCAAAAATATGTATGCAAACACACACACACCCACAAGCCCTCACAGAGAATCCCTGACCAGTAAAGTGATTCAACATGTTACTAAGGCAGGTTTGTACAGACAAGGTGACGAATGGACCATTTCAGAGAAGTAACACCACAAAATGGAGCCAAGTCGAAGGATATGCACACTAACTGCGTTCAACTGCATCTGCAAGGATCAACTGCACGCAGCTAAGGTAATTAAAAACATCTTGTATCTTAAAGATGGCTTCAAGATCAAACAATACACAACCCAACAGACCTTAAGCCAAAATGTTTGTATACAATGATAAGTTACGATATACATGACATTCACTTTTGAAGAAGACACCACTGTCAGATCGAGAATCATTTTAAAAAAGGTTTTGCATTCAGATAAACTGTGATGTGTTAAGTAATTGCTCAACATGAAAATAATATAAAAAAATCCCAAACCTTAAATTAACTTAATGTAAAAATCAACAACTTGTAGTCATTAGAAATAGCTTTTTGAAGTGAAAGCAGACACACATGTAATCTTGTGCATGAACTAATTCATTTAAATATTATTCTCAAATAACCCATAAACAGTCTGTATGGAAGTTGTGAGACACTACATGTGGGTGCAATAAATGTCACCCCTTTGATTCCCATAATTTCCTTGACAGCAGGGCACTAAACCTGCTCATGAAAGGTAACATGTAGGACTTCAGGGACAACCATAGCTGAGTGGACACCCTGCGATGCAACTGTTTAAGGGCAATAATTGTGTGAATGATTAAGCGATTAAATCCGAGTTTCTACTTCGTGCATAGATCATTATCTGCCTTGCTGGTTAATATCGCAGTGGCTGATCATGGCGCTGTCCATGCTCCTCAGTTTTTACTCGAAGGCCACTATTCCAGCTGCTGTCACACGACATCCATAAAAACACACCAACAATGGCAATTTAGGCTCAACAATCAGTCGGACCTGTGGGCCTAAATTTAGCTCCGCAACAAGGCTAAACACACCAGATTGACAACCTGTGTTTTTCTTAACATTACAGAACAGAGCTAATGTTAATGTGAGTTATGATGGGGCAACACAACAGATTGTTTTAGTAGCCCTCAAATCTCAAGATAACAGAAACGAGTTAGCTGTAGCAGACAGCCACTTTAACACGGCTGTAACACAACAAAAACTTTATTACAAGTTGTCTTGGCGTTTATAAGCCCCGGTTAAAGTAGCCCATTAAAGACACGGGACCGTCAGTTGAGGACCCCGCATTCAGTTAGCTAACATAGCATTAGCCGACTGAGCTAACAGAGCTACCTCCGGCTAAAATGGCTGTTAGCATGCAAGCTAGCTGTGGGAGCTCCTCTTCACGTCCGACACACACACTCATTAGCAAGCTAACGTTAGCAAGCTACGACAAAAACAGAGGAGTAATCACGCGTTTTCCTCGCCTTTCAAGTGGACACAAGCCGTTGAAAATTAATAAACCGATTGATTAACACTGTAACAAACTGTATCAGTAATAAATACTTACCATTTCCATCGCTGGCGGAGGCGGAAAGTGCCGGAGAGGAGAGTTTAGGCCTCTTGGCTGCAGGCGGGCCAGAGTCCAGAACGTTCTCGGCCATATTTTTTCGAAATAAAAATATATAAAGTATCCACAACTGCAGACGTTTTCACGCCCTTAGAAGCTCATTCCTTTTCGTTTCCAATATTGCGACTTTTCCCCCTCCTTTTGGGGGACTAAGAGGGGGAAAGTCCCGTGTACAAATTACTCCTCTTTCCCTGGGTTCGCCTCTCGATTTCAGCCTCGGCGTATATCAACCCCCCTCCCTCCCTCGTCGGATTTTTTGTTCTTTATAAATTTCTGCCAGCGGAGGAGGAGGGGGTCGGTGAAAGTAAAGAGGGAGACACACGCAGCGGCTTCCCTCTAAACTTACACAGCGTCTTCGGATGTAAATAAACTGTCCCCGGGTCTCTCTTCCATGCTTACATCCGTCATTTCGACCTCCTTTCCAGCGGAGTCTGGATGGAGATAATGTCGGGCAGAGCAGGCTTGTTTGCCTGCGAAGTGATGGTGGTGCTGCTGGTGGCAGCGGGTAAGGATGAGGGGATGCAAAAATAAAATAATAAAGCTGACAAATATGCAGCCGTGGTGGTGGATGACATATAATGCTCATTCAAAGAGTTGTGCATGTAAGCTATATAATAAATAAAAGAGATACGTGATTTATGGAGAATTCATCTTTGAAGAAACCTGAACTTGCCACTGGAAGGTTTAATTAAGTTGGATTACGCTAAAAGGCTATTTAACATGCAAGTAGCCTAAAGTTATTACCACTTTTTGCGGCTATTCCTTTTAAAATCAAATATATATTTTCATAGATTTATTGGCCTATAACTTTCAGTGCAGCAGACTATGTTGGGTTCACAAATACAAACAGCCTAATGCAAATCTTGAAAGATTGGTTGAACTAATTCCTCACTAATTAACATTTTCCAAATTAAAGACGGAATCCTGTCATCGTTTATTTCCTTTTTGTTTGTCTTCTTCAGTGGCATGGCTCCATGCATACATTTGTGAATCCTCTTTTATACAGCACAGAAGAATGCAATTTCCTCAGCCTATCCTTCTGTTTACTCTGCATTAAACCCTCAGTTAAAAAAATATTCTTCCTGTCTTGGTTTTGCACCAAAACAGCCACCAGTCTTTACTCAGTCACTCACTGGTGTGTATGTATTCAGCATATACCTGAGTCTATAGACTTCACAAAACAACTGATTCCATTTCAATCGTTGCATCGACTTCACGGTTTTAAACTGCAAAGAAATCAGTTTGAAAAACACTTTATTATCTCAACCTACAAAGTGGTCATTCATGTTGTAGGCCTAACTACTCCTAAGCCATTTGATCTCGTTTTAATGCACACAGGTAACTCTTAACCTTTCAACCCTCAATGCTTATCTATGTTTCAGTCAAAATTTTGCATCTATAAAGTTTATCTCCTTGTTCTTAAACTGGGGTTGGGGATACCCTCTTCGAATGCCCCTATGGTATACGAATAAGTCTCCTCCAGGGTGCAATTTTAGTGGACAAAATGTGATTAAGTGCTCTCCTGGTTGTTCTTCCAGTGGTCAAATCTGGGAACATGCCCTCCAGGGTGCCCTTCCTGTGGACTAAAAGTGGCAGCGTGCCCTCAGCCCTCCATGGTGCCCATCAGTGGACATAACTATTTCCCTATAAATATATGACGACTTTTAGTGTGCTGGTGCCACACCTTATAGAAAAGGTGCCCTTATCATTATTTTCGCTCCTGCCCCTTAAACATCACGAGTCTGCTATTGTTTGTGAGACTTTTAGAGTAAGATGCCTAAATTGAATGAACACGTTGAAGCACAGAAGTCATTTAAAAACACTGCACCATTGGATCAAATGAAATACACTTACAGCATGTGTTTTATGTTTTTATACATAATGATGTGTTCTGGAATTAAGAATGAAGTTTCATTCATCTTAAATGTGTTCGGCCAAAAGGAGAACACTGTCATGTTAATGCTTAATATGATAAAGAGTAAAGGACTTACACACTATCCGTAAACCTGTTTGATTTCATGCTGTATTTATATCAATTATGCAGATGACATTCTTTGTAGGGGAATTCAACAGACAAAGTCAGAAAATTAGGTATTTAATGCATCTAAATGAAAAATGAAATCTCATCGAACAAGTTGAACATCTATAAATGTCTACAACACGTAACAAGGCAGCAGAGGTAATTTTTCAAACTTAATTGCCAACAGAATACAATCAGAAGTCTGTTTTAGTTTCTCTGCATGCAATCTTGTGAGTATTATATAGTAGTAAGTTTTGTATTACAAATCTGCAGCCACTTCTTCTTGTTGTCACATCCACTGACTTGCTTTAATGTGATCGAAAAATGGGATTCCATTGCGTCACAAAAGTTTCATTAAACATCTCTATCACATAATAACCAAATCGGTGAATATATATGTGTTGGAATCAAACCCTTGTGGTGTGGTATCATGCCCAGTCAGAGAACTTCATCAAGCCATGGCTGGATCAACCCACCAGGGGGCCACATGGCACACAAGGACCCTGTGCCAAGTCTACCAGCATTAGTTTGCTGCAAGGCAAATACCATACAGGGTCTAAGAATACATTTCTAGATTAAATTGTATGTGCACAAATATTTAATAAAATATGACTAAACTTAACATGCCTTAATAATGCATGACCCATAATTAAGGTCAAAATAAAGGTAAAAATAAAACAATATTTTTTAAAAAAGTACTTAATATAGCCTAAATATAAAGGGTGGACAGTGAGTGAAGTTTCATATATTTATATATCAGCATGTATACAATCTATAGAAATTTGAAAGCAACAAGAGTTAACAGGTTTAAAGATTTTAATCAGTGTACATTCTTTAACAAATATAAATTTAACCAATTATGACACATAGGCCAACTGTGAACTTGTGTCCTTCAGGGTCCTGTGGAAGTTCCCTTTTCTGCCAGGTCAGTAATCCAGCCTCAAACAGGTATCAGCCTTATTTTCTGCTGTTTTTGGACTTTTTACCTCTCTTACTTTCACCCTGGGCATGAACTGAAGGACCCCACATTTTGAAGGGGCAGCAAGTAGACATTATGACATCAAAACCTGCAGAAGAGCGTGTATGGAGCCCCAAAAGTGACCACATTACCTGAAGGATGATCTGAGGAGTTTGTTATGAGATTCATTTATAAATAATACAAAATCAAACAAAAGTAATGTATTGATATTTCATCACTAAGTATATGAACACTTGGTGGTGGTGCATCTATTACCTTCATTAACAACTGCTTAATTGGGGACTTTGGTGGCCTAGTGGTTAGTGGGCATGCTCCATGTACAGAGGCTGTGGTCCTCCAAGCAGGAAGCCCGGGTGTGAATCTGACCTGTGGCTTCTTTTTTGCATGGCCTTCTGACTCTACACTATCCTATCTCTAAATAAAGGCCTAAAAAAGCCCCAAAATGAACCTTTGAAAAACAAAAACAAGTGCTTGATCACAAGAAAAACAAAAACAGTTCACTTTAAAAGAAAAGGCAGACAAGCATTACCATAGTCTGATTCTAAAAGGTTGCACTAAGTGGCTTTCATACAGGATACCATGGTCTGCCAATAAATGTGAAACACACCTTTCATTATAGGGAAAAACAAATGACAGACATAGTGCGATAGAATTGTTGGCAGTGACCATCCAGGGATAATTTCCATTTTCAGAAGCTTAAAAGAATCTTAAATTCAACTCTTAACCCTCCATTCAGACACTTAGTGTCTCATGTTGCACCTTGTAAGAACAGACATCACTGCCTGTTTACCTCTCCATACATCATGCTTTAAATGGGGCTAAATCACATTACTTGCAGTGCATTACCTGTAAATGCATTGTGTATATGTTTGTGTATGCATGTACTAAGCTGTGTTCTTTATATGTGCACATATATAAAGAGTGGCCTTAAGAAGATAGAATGATAGAAGCTGCTCTCTTTATCCATCAGTGAAACCTTTTGGACCTGTGTTACTGTAAATGAAAAATATATTTCAAATGTTTTTCCTGCTCTTTCTGTGTGGCTTTGCATGTGTTTACCTCAAATAGTACTATCAGCAAAAATATCAAAAAGTTAAGAACAAATACATTTACAGTAATTAAATATAAGTAGAAAAGTAATAATAATAATAATAATAATAATAATATAGTACTAGAAATTATACACTATGTAAACTTTCACTTCTGGAAAGACAGAGAAGTAAAAAAACACAAACAGTGTCGCATATTAAGATGAGCATTTCGATGCAGTCATTTCACATATGAGTCATGTGATGCTGTTAAACAGTCTGACTGCAGATGGGATGAACAACCTGCGGTTGCGCTCTTTCTTGCAGGGTGGGTGTCTCAGTCTGCTGCTGAAGGAGCTGCTCAGGGTCCCACAGTGTCACACAGGGGGTGAGATGGGTTGTCCATGATGGATGTCAGCATGGATAACATCCTCCTCTCACCCACCTCCTCTACAGAGTCCAGAGTCCAAGACAGAACTGGCCCTCCTAAACCAGTTTGTTGAGTCTCTTCCTGTCCCTCTCTGTGCTCCCTCCTCCCCAGCAGACCACTGCATAGAAAAGTGCAGACGCCACCACTGTGTCATAAAAAGTCTGTATCAGAGTCCTGCACACTCCAAAGGACCTCATTGGCCTCAGCAGGTGCAGTCGACTCTGGCCCTTCTTGTACAGGACGTCTATGTTGTGGGACCAGTCCAGAGTGTTGTTGAGGTGAACACCCAGGTATTTGTAGGTCTCCACCATCTCAATGTCAAAGCCCTGGATGTTGACCGGTGCATGGGGTGTCAATCACCATTTCCTTTGTCTTGCTGGCGTTGAGCTGAAGGTGGTTGGGCTCACACCAGTCAACAGAGTCCATGATGACCTGCCTGTCCTTCTGTTTATTCCCACGATGGCTTTGTCATCAGAGAACTTCTGCAGGTGGCAGCTCCCAGAGGTGTGACTGAAGTCCGAGATGTACAGGGGGAAGAGAAAGGGTGAGAGAACTGTCCCCTGTGGGGCCCCTGTACTGCAGACCACCATGTCAGACTCACAGTCCTGAAGCCTCGCGTACTGTGGTCTGTTGGTGAGGTAGTCCGTTGTCCATGCAGCAAGAAGACAATCCACTACAGCTCATTCCAGCATCCCTCAGCGTACAGGCCGGATGGTGTTGAAGGCACTGGAGAAGTCAAAGAACATGACCCCTCACAGTGCTGCCGTTGTTCTCCAGGTGAGTCCGCGATCTGTGCTGCATCTACACCTGTATGTCCAGTTGTTAGGTGAACTGAGTGGATCCAGACTTGAACTCACCGGATGTTACAATGATTCTATAGATGAGAATGTGACTAGCTGTTTGTCTCTGTCAGTCCTGCGATTGACTGGCAACCATATCAAGGTGTAGCCCACCTCTCACCTCATGACAGCTGACATCCGCTCCAGCCCCAT